AGACAAACAAAACCATCAATGAAAAAAAATCTGTTAATATTTTAGGGTGATATTTACCGACTAAATTAATTTCATTGTCAAATTTATTGGTATTTATCAATATAAATATTTAATTGATAAATACTGAGGGAATTCCAGTCAGAATAAAAAGAGTTTTAAAAAAGAGAAAGTTTGATGACATGTAATTTTTTATGGTGCTTTTACTAGCGGAATTACAGATGAATTCAAACAACCAAAACCATATAATGACAAATCTTTCATATCGATAGAATTACTGATGGATTGATAAAGAAAAACAATTCATCGATATTTTTATTTGTAATAGTTAATAAATGAATTAGTTGTTTACCTTTTCTTCCTCTATTTCTCCTTCTTTCCCTCTGCAGCTAAACCCCCTTCCCTGTAATGTGTAACTAATAAACAAACCCCCCTTCCCCCAACATCTCATCTCATTTAACACTTATCCTTCCTTAACTTTTCCAGTCATAATAGCATTTTTATTAAGGATTTTTCATTTTAAATAAGTAAATCTACCTTTATTTAATTTGAACACAATTTTGAAATGCCAATTTTTTTATTGTATAATTTTTTAGTATATATATATTTTATTTGGGTGTTTACTTTTCTTATTGTTTTTTTTTCAAACAAACTTATTGTACGCATACATGTTTATATACATGTTATGGTTTGTTTTAGATTTTATAAAATTATATTTGTTTGTAAATTATTGAAACTTATGTTAAATTACCAACTTAGGAGTGTTATGATGATATAAATAATGGCTTGTTTAATAGGTCTATTTTATATTTTGTTAATTTTATTATCAAGTTGTAATTTCTATAAATTAATGGGTACAAATTTGTATGTACATAAATAATTGATAATGAATTAAGAGAATTATGGATGATCGTTTATAAATGTATTGAAATTTAGCTAAGGATTATGAATTATGGATTAAGGCGGTATAGAGATGATCCGTAAAGTTCTTGCGGTTATCTTTTCCTCTAAAACTTAGAAAAACATCATAGTTCCATCTATGTCTAGAGAATGAAGACGAAGAAGAGAACGGAGACTCAGAGCACATGTAAGCCATAGCTGGGACAGTTTTATCAATCTCTATAGCAAATTGGAAAGGTAGGTTGAAGAGTATGGATAGGAGTGACGTTACTTTGCTTGTTTTTCTCTCACAAATTTGAAGTCCTTTGCAAAGATGATATATATAAATAATTGTGGAAGTTGATGAGAAGTTTAGTGGAAATTGGGGTCGTGTAGGTCAGTGCAGCTGTGCTTGTCCCATAGCCCTTGGCTATAGAGATTCCCGTGTTAAATAACATTCTTTCAAGACCATAAAGTCATAAAAAGTGGTATAAAGAAGTTACATACATATATATAATTGCATGTAGTCAAATATTTCAGACTGAATGCTTGCTCCAAGTGCATACATATATATAATTGTGTAGGAAAATCCACACCTGTGCTTATCTATATTTTTGTAAAATTTTAGCTAAAATAACTACAAAATCGTTTTAACTAAGTAGCTAAAAACAATAATCACATTCTCTTAAAAAAAAATATTTCAGGATTATTTTTAATTTTCAAGATATAAGAACAATCATAATTACTCAACTAAACTATTGAGATTTAAAGTAAAGGAGAGCAAATCTGAAACTTGAAAGCATACCAAATCACCTTCAGTGCTAATTATACACTGTACACTGATCTCACTAGATTTAGCATTAGTAATAGATGCCCCTAGAGAAGCTGTGGAGAGATTTCTTCTCCTCTAGATATTTATTAATGAACCAGTTTACGAGGTAAGCTGGAATTCACTAACAATAAGGGAGTTAGAAAGAAGATGAGCATTAACAAGCTCATATAAGCAATAACACTTCAGTTACTATAACTTGGTAAAATGCCTAAAAACCTCTAATGAAATTATTTTTTATTTATATAAAGTTATTATTCCGAGCTTTGAATCAAAGTGCAAGATGGTGAAGAATAAGTTGAAACAACCATGATGGGCTCCAGATAAGATGGTAGTGCTTCTATCGAGGGGAGATTTCCCTTCCTGTCTCTATCTGCAATTAATAAGCGTTTACAATTTGACTTTTGTTTGAATATTTTTAGCAAAAGAAAAGAAACGTGCAATTCTCAGATTCGTGACCTTTAGCAAAATCCTGCCAATGAGATTTTTTTTTATTTTTTAATTGATTAATTTGATTTTTTTCGATTTGCCCTCGCATTTTCACTTTGATATTTAGATTTTAATTTCTTACAATTATAACTTAAAAGTTTTTAAATTTTTATTTTTATTTTTATAGTTTATTTAATTTATGAATTTTAATATTTTTTCAACTAAACTCTTAATTTCCTGAATTAAACTATGTTTAAGTTTAATTAAATCTATAAACATATCAATTTATAGATTAAACCTCCAATTTTCCTTAATTAAACTATATACAAGCTTATACAAGCTTAGTTAAGTCTCCAAACATACCAATTCATCAATTAAGCTTCCGATATTATTAATTAAATAAATTCTATATTTAAATAAGTTTCTAAATTTATTAATTCTTCAAATTTATAGCAAAAATGAACCTTCAATTTATAATTCCTTCATTATTAATCATCAAAAGCTTATCATTTGTGTTGTCTTGACTCAAATCATAATTTTTTTTTTCATTTCATTTTTTTTTTAATTTTGAAAAAATTAAAATTAAAATTAAAAAAATTAAAAATTAGATTTGACACTAATTATAGTGAAATTTTATTCTCATCTCTTATATATGTAGCTGTAACTAAGCAACATAGAATATCTAGCATTGTGTGATTGTTTTTAATATATTTGTTGTGATATTCTTTATATGTATATGTTCTATCCCCAAAAATCTAGTAGCGGAGCTCTATCTTCGTAATTTGTGGTTGATTTATAAAAATCATTATATCTTTATCAACGCATAGTATTGAAAAATTTTATGTACCCGTTAATATTGTTCCATGAACTAGTTAAGACGAGTGTAGTTCTTTCCCATCACATGTTAAAGCATGCTCTTGACGCCGAAAAAAAATAAAAAATAAAAAGTAAAAATAAAAACTGTTAGTAATGATGGATGAAACATAAGAAATGTAATTAAGATGATAGAGGAGGATAATTAGTAGTGTTATAAAAAATAAGTTAGAAAATATTTTTTAGTATTTGATTATGTTATAGAAAATGAATTAAAAAATAATTTATTAATATTTTTTTCTAGTTTATTAAAATAATAAGGAATAAATTTTACAAATTAAAAAGTTGAATGAGAATGTGAATGAGAAAAAAAATCTAATTTCATAAATTATCTTAAATAAAATAAATAAAAATAAAAATAATAAAGATTAAATTTAACAGATGAAAAAAATTAAAAGATAAGAAATTAAAATAATAATAATAAATTCATAAAATATTTCAAATAAAATAAATAACAATCAAAAGAATAAGAACCAAGTTTGATAGATAAAAATTTTTAATTAAAAAAATAATAAAAAATAAAAATAAAAATCATAAAAATAAGGACCAAAGTTAATATAAAAATCAAATTAAATTAAAGTATAAGAGGTGAAATTGAAAAAAAAAAAGATTTTTAAAAAATATATTGCAATAAAAAATTTGATGATCAAATCTGTTATAATATGCAAATAATATGATATATTACTAATGTTTTTACAACTTCTGAAAAATATTTTTCTTTTAAAATAAAAAAACAGTTTTCTAAAAACTAAGTCAAATTTTTTGACTAAAAAATATTTTTTATTGATAAATTTTCTAATAATAAATAAATATAAAATAATTTAAAAAATAATTTTTAAAAAATTACTTTTCATCGTAAAATAAAGTCCTTAATACCTATCCAACTTTTTTGATAGGATGTAGTATAATGAGAAGTAGTGGCTAAAAAAGATCGAAAAAGATCGTATGTGATTTGTTGATTAACCTTGAATCATTGCATGTGACTAACTTTTTGACAAACAAGATCTATCTAAAGCATTGGCTCCACATTTTGTGTATGAAAATCTACTATCTATTAGAGTTGAAATTGATGATAATGGTCAGGTCTTATTATTGTTATGTTCTTTGTCTCTTGTTTGTCATAACCTTAGAAAGACTTTACTAAAATATCACATCGTATGCCAAAGAAAATGGATAAAACAAGGAACCTCCAACAAAGTAGACTAATTTTACTTAATCTTGTAGTATTAATTTGGTTTTGTATGAATTATCTTTTACACAGGATAGAGGGGTGGTGGTGACCCTTCATATTTTCTTGTCGTTACTAGGGCTAGTTTTGATGAGTCTATCTTCGTATTTTTTGTCATTTGCTACCATGCAAGATTTGGTGTAAGCTTGATGTCAACACTACATTTCTAAAATAGAAATTAGAGAAAAATATCTATATTTATTAGCCCATGTGTTTTATGATTAATGATAAGGAAAATTATGTATGTCCATAAATTAAGATATGATTTTTATGTATAGTCATAAAGTTATATATCTTGCTAGAAATAAGATACTTTTATGAGAAAAAATTACATTTATTAATTTCAGGTATCATTTTATTTTGGATATTTTTGTGTTAAAGATTTGAACCACATCTCTGTTGTTATTGTAAAAAATCATTTAAAGCCAAAAGAACTAGGCTTTTTAAGGTATTCTATATAGGAACAATTTATTGTGTTATGAAAATTTAATTTGTTTGAAATTTATATTGAGAGTTAAGTAAAATTGTATTATTCTAGTTGTAATCAAAATTTATCCTATAGAGAGATATAAACAAATCTCATAAAGAAATTGCTAGATTTTTTATCTGTTTCCTGTGTGATATATTGTATATTCATGTGTGATCCTAAGTTGATGAATTATATTGATGTAAGATAATTATGAATTTGACAATAAATTCATAAGATAAATAAGAGTGTATGAATCTACATTACAACAATTAATATACAAAGTAATGAGCTCTTACCATTTCCTTGGAGTGTACATTGTATGCATCTTTGGGAAGCCAAATCCTGCTGCAATTTCCAGGATGGTTACGCGACCTTTGACGAATAATCTCCCTTCCCATCTTTCGTAATATATCATGCATACTTAACCTATTCTGATTCTCGGTGTCAATTGTTATAAGAGACCTTCCAATGAGAGTTCTGAAAGCTACTTCTGGATGGCAATCGTAACGAGCACCAACTATATCCGCTACATATTCTTTGTCTCTACCAACAAAAAAGCACGCGATATCAAGGAATATCTCGCTTGTATCCACATTCAGTGCATCAAAACTTACTCTAAGCTTCCCTTGAATATCATCATGCGGAGTATTTTGCCAATGGGCAATCGATATTGCCCATTCAGCTTTGTCTCTTGTGAACAAATGAGAACCCAAAATTTGTAGAGCCAAAGGAAGTCCTTTGCAGTAGTCCACTACCTTTTCTGAAAGCTCCTCATAATCCTTTGCTGGATGGGTTTCCCTAAAAGCATGCAATCTGAAAAGCTGCTGAGACTGATTTCGATCCAATTCTTGAGCATGATACATTCCATCTACCCCCACTTCTGTTAGCAGATCCTTATTCTTAGTTACAACAATTATTATACTTCCGGCACCAAACCAACATCTCTCTCCCATCAATGCCTCCAGTTGTTCCCTTTTGTCCACATCGTCAAAAACAACAAGGATTTTCTTACGATGAAGTCGTTCTTTGATCAAATTCATTCCTTCATAAACATTACTGACCTTCCAAACATATGGTTTCAGAATATCATGAAGAAGGCGCTCTTGTAATTCAACCAGACCATTCGGCTTATCTGATATTTCCTTGACATCCGAAAGAAAACTGCTTCCCTCAAATCCAAAATAAAGTTTGTTAAACACAGCTTTTGCTATTGTTGTCTTGCCTATTCCAGCTATCCCATGTATTCCCACCATGCCAACATCAGGTTTTGCACCTTTTAGCAAAGAAATAATTCCCTGAACTCTGGAATAAATACCTACTGGGTGTTTGGCTACGTGCAAGGTTTTGTTTCCCAGTTTACAAGCTACATCACGGACAATGCTTTTGATGAATTCCGCTTCATATCTGTTCATGGAGAAAGAGAGACAACAATGGCGTATAGGTTGTCAGTTATTAATCCAGAATTTTCAAGCCCATGCCTCTCTAGAACTATCAAGGAAGTGCATCTTCAAAATCTAGCTCATCCATCTCTAGAATTCTCTTCAAAAAAATAAAGTCATCCTTTCTTGTAAATGATATTCTATTAGAAGTCTCTAGGCTATCAAACAGACCTAGCAGCCCATATATCCATGCTGCCACTTTCTTGTAAGAAGGATTGAAAGGGTGTAAAATTGCTTTTTAAATATTGTTTTTTTAAAATGTATTAAAATAATTTTTTTTTGTTTTTAAATTTTTTTTTTAATACTATCAAATTAAACGTTCCAAAAAAATTTAAAAAACTTACATTTTGACGAAAAAATATTATAAATTAGTTGGTGTTCAACCATCACTCAGAGTAAACAAGCAAGCAATTTTATACATGAAAAAGTTTGCGCGGTGTGTGTGAAGAGAGAGTGGTGTGAGTGAGTAGAGAAAGATATGTGTGTGCAAGTGAGATTGAGTGAAAAATACGCGAAGTGTGAGCGGTGAGTGTGTGATGTGATAATATTAAAGAGAGCGTCACATTAGTTGGTGTTTAAGTATTAATATTTTGTACAAAATTCTTTTATTGAATATAATTAAGTTATTCTGTTAATTTATCACTATTTATCAGCTTTTGCTCAAAATTTTAATTTATCACTATTAGTTTTTTTTTAATATACATCCAACATTAGTGTTTTGGTTTTTTTAATATACATCCAACATTAGTTAAATGCTAAAAATTAGTCAATATGACATAGTAGGTTGATCAAAATTTAAAAAATTAAAATAATATCAAGATGTTGTTAATTGATTTTTTGGTAGCAATTTCCTTTCTAATTATGAATTCAAACGTTGGAGTAACTAGTCAATTTTAAAATTTTATATTCTAATTACCTTAAATTTTAATTATATCATGTAAGAATTAATTTAATGTTCTCAAATTTTAAATTTTAAATTATATCATGTAAGAATTAATTTAATGTGACATAGATAACTTAGTAAAAATAACATAAATAATTGGTTAAAATATAATTTAATATAAAAACAATATTTTTTAAAAAATATTAAGATAATAAAATATTAAATTCATTTAAGTCGATTTGCCACACTCATCAACCAAATCATAAGCCCAAATGCATTTAATAAATTCATTTTAAATCATTTTTTTAATTACATGTTAATAAAGATAAAGGATGTAGTAAAGTAATTGAATTAAAAAAACAAAACAAAACAATTATAATAGATTGCAAAAAATAAAAAAATAAAAAACAAATAAACTTGGTAATATTACAAAAATATTTCTACTATCTTATTCCAAAATAAAATTTAATAAAATAATATCTAAAATATAATTTTAATTAATTTTTTTTAAAAAATTATATATATATATATATACACACATATATAACAACCAAACACGAAACACGAAGATTTTTCTAGGTACCTCAGCTTACTTGGGCCATATGATAAAAGCCGAAGTGTAATGGCCTCCATAAATTTACATCTATTTCAAAATATAAACAGTTAAATATTATTAATAAATATAATTTTTAATCGAATCATTTAAAAATCTAATTGAAATTGTTGAAAAGATCAAGCGGTGCATTTGTTTTACTTAAAAACTCAATTTATAATCTATTTTCATATAAGGAAAAATTCTTATAACCTAAAAAAATTAATTTTTTCTCTTAAAACACTCCAAAATTAGTTAAAAAAATAAATAGAAAAACATCTCTCTCAATCTTGATCTCTTTGTTTTTTATTCTTTTCAAATTGAAAGCTCAAAAAAAATTTAATGTCATTTCTCTTAGCACATGGAATATTTTCATAATTAATTTGATTTTTTTTATAATAAAATTCAATCTAATATCAAGATTTTTTTTGTGACTAAAATAACAATGTAAAAAGTAAATTACAACATGTTATCAATACCAAATCTCAAATTAACATAATATTTAAAAATAAAACTATAAAAAAATAATGAAAGAAAAAATAAAAAAAATGGAACCATGTTTTTTAAAATGATTTCTTAATTTGCAATCTCTTGTAAATAATAAAATTAAATGTCTCTAATTTTTTTTAAATCAAGCATTAAGAAGATATTTTTTTAGACTGTAATAATCATATAAAAAATAAATTATTAACGCAATAGTAAATTTATTTTTAAAAAATCAATGAATGAATAAATAAAAGTTATTAAATCTAAAAAACAAAAATAAATAAATAAAAATATTATGTGAATTTACATTAATGCCTCCCCTCACAAACTGCAATGAAAAACCGATGCTTTTAAATTTTTATTCAATTAATAAATAATGCCTAATCCTTTGAATCTTCCAACAATACTTTCACTTTTAGCAATACTTTCACGGGAAAGGTGAACCTCTAATCCCTC